TAACCACCATGGGCTTTGGTGGCGGTGTCCTAGATCTTGAGGATCCGGACGGAGCTGCCCCAGAATCTGTTGGCTCATCGTCCAGGTCGTCATCGAGCGATTGATCTGCCCAATTACGATTAGGGGTACGATGAGTTGGGTCCACCAGTGGTGTCACGGTTACCGATGTTCTTGATGGAGACTGGGCCGGAGGTTCACCAGAGTCGTATCCGGTTACTATACCCTTCGGGCGACCAAAGGGACGGTACCCCGTGTGTGCTCCGCAAACGACGGCTCCGCGCTAGGCGCGGTTTCCTCAGGAGCGCCAGGACCCGGCCTCAACACAACTCGTGACGTTGATGCGAATACGACACGAGTGCGTTTCGGCGGAGGAGGGTTCGCCGGTGCACGCGGCTTTGGAGCCGGAGCTTCTGGGGCCTCCTCGGCCTCAATGGCATGTGTTGGTGCTCGCCGCCAAGGGGCGGTTGCCCGGGGTTTAGCCGCTGGACGGGGTGGACTTTCATCATCGTCCACGTCCATGGCGTGTACCTCAGTGTTCGGATGCACCAACAATTCAGGCTGTGGCACTGTTAGACCACCTGGCTCTCTCGTGGGACGAGTTCGCCACACATGATCGGGTAGGTCGTATACAGTGTCACGAGCCGTTTCTATTGGGATAGGCTGCGCGGGTGGTTCACGCGCAGCATGCTGAAGCCTAACAAATCCGCGCTGACACGGTTGCTGTGCCCCTTTAGGCTGATTAGGCTCCGGTTGAGGAGCGTCGGCTTTGGGGGGCTGTGCAGGTACTGGCAGGCTTCGAGCGCTTGCTTTTGGCGGGGGCGGCCTACGAAGTTTAACATGTGGTGGTAAATCTTGAGGCCTATGAGGAGTATTCAGGTATTCGGGGTCTAAAGGTGGTGGATCAGGGGGAGTTGCAGTTGCGAGTGCACGCCTAAACCGACCGGACCTTACGGCTCGGGTTATGGTGTTGGCTGCACGAGTGCGAACCGTCTCCAAATCCTCGCCTTCAACCTCGACCGCCGGATCTGGTTCGAAAGCTTCCTCCTCCTCCCGCGCAAGCGCGGTTCCGCCCTGGTCGTCCTGTTGGACTGTGCCCTCCTCCTCCGCTCCTTCTGGATATCCAAGATCGGCCTCGGTTTCAGGATTAGGCACTCCCTCCTCAGCTGGTCCGACACCATCCATAGGATCATCTGCCTGCTCAGAGGTATCGGCAAGATGGACCGTGCGTGTTGGCTGTTCCGTGTCCGCGAGTGACTCAGCGGTTTCACGATTAGGCCTCGGACACGGCCTGGTTGGACGAGGAGGTCGAACCGACTCTGAAGTCCGGGTTTGGGACCTAGATCTCGGATTACCTTGTGGAGTTTGGGATCGGGATTGCACAGGATGATCAACAGGCCTCAGCTGCGGCCTCCAGCCTCCTGACGAACTGGCAGCGCTTGCGCCCACTACGGGCTGGAATGCGCGCGCCGGAACGGTAACTGGAAAGGCTTGCTGAGCGGGCGGCGCCGTCTGCGATGAAGTCGCCGCTGAGGAACGGACCTGGTGGAGTGGAATACATTTATAGGTTTTCTGATAGTACCCGGGCGGGAATCGATAGGTGGGTTGCTTAACACCATTCGATATCTCAGGCATATTACGGGTGCACCAGGACCAGAATTCTGGAATGATCGCTGCCCAAGCCTTGAGAGCCCCGTCGGAGATGTCACCTTCTTCGGGGGACTCAGCCCATGCGTCGGCATGAAAAACAATTTGTACCATTCAGAATAATCTTTCCGCGCTAACAGCGGTTTCACGAACGGCAAATGGTAAGTTTTGCCGACTCGACGGTAGGTATGTGATGCCAAGTGACTTGCAATGAGGTCACACGTTAGGGCATACTTCTTGTCCGATTGTTCAAATTGGTGCTTCTGGCCTCCTCTCGCTCCGCGCGTACGCTTGGGTTGAGGATCAACGGCTGCTGAAGCAGTTTGTGATGCCTCCGCGCTAGGCGCGGTTTCGTCGTCAGCCACGTCCGCCTCCTGCTGCTCTTCTTTGGCAGTGGGTCCCGCCTGATCGTCAAGGTCGTCGTCAGGCTCTTCACCACCAAAATCAACCTCCGCTTCGTCAAAGACCGGGTCAGTGGCCAGTGACTCAAACTGCGTTGGATGATTGTGAGTATGCAGTGGGGGTATAGGCCCACGGGAGAGGTTGAGGGATCGGCATACACGTCCTCCTCTACTTACTCCTTAGTGGTGGGCTCTATCTTAGGTGGGCCTAACAACGAGAAGGCATCGAAGGGCGGTTCCTCGGCGTTATGGGGGCCTAACGAATCGTCCTGAGCTGACGAGACCTCTCCGCGCGAAGCAGCGGTTCCGGTCTGGAGCTCTGCTTCGATAAGAGGGGTTTCGTCGTTAAGAGCACCAAGGGTGCTGGTTTCAAGCGGCAACTCGATGGTGGTCGGCTCTGCGACAGGCTCTTCTTGCTGAAGATCGTCGACCTCTTCCGCCCCTGCGGTTTCTGAACCCTGAGGCGTGAATGTAGGCTGGGAGGACGAAATGCCTGAGGCGACACGGGGAGTAAGGGGTGGCTCTTGCACAGATGCCTCCCCGAACTCTTGGTCCGTGGTCTCCGCGCTAAGCGCGGTTCCGACCACTCCCTCACAAAAAAGCAAGTGCTTCTTGATCCTGAGGGTCCCCAGCAGGCGCCGTGGCTGGTGCTGCAGCCGATGATGACGCAGCGGCGCCGGTTGCTTGGGGCTGGGGATTGACTCGACCCATTGGTGGTCTATGAAGGTACGAAAAGCGTGCCGCAATGGACCACTCGGCGGGGTCGAGTGTTGTTGCCTGTAGCTCACGGCTACGGCTGATAACCAATTGAGTGTACAATCCGGGTGGGACGTAGGGGAACGCCCAGCTTATCCTATCCACTGGGAGGTGGTAAAAGAAATAAGCTAAGTCCCTAGATGCACGGTCTATATTATATAACCCTGGGCGAGTCCGAAGGACGAGAACCCGTGGTTGCAAGGTGCCGAACGAACGAGAGCGGGCGAGCAATCGAACGAACGAAAGTGCGAAAGGCGCGGAAGCACGAATGCGACGAAAGTGTCCCCGACCACAGGTCAGGAGAGCACGGCGCCCTGCAAGGAAACAGCGCGGGTGCACTTGTTTCCTTGAGCCAAGAGCGACGGTCGAAGCATGTGTTTCACATGCCTTAGTGAACCGTAGCTAAATAGATGGACATGTACAAGTAGTGAATAGCTGTTACATAGTAGGGGTTCACAGAAAATGACTTTCTTAAGGCTTATCTTCTTTCTAGCTGTTGTTTCTCTAGATTTGCTGGCGCCCTCCCCAATTTTGCCTCATCCAAGGTTCTCAGCTTACATGTTTTTCTTTAAAGTAGGTATGTCCTTATTAAGGTTTATCGTCTTTCTAGCTGGTGCCCTCCACATTTTTTGCTTATCCCAGGTTCTCAGCTTACATTTTCTCTGTAAAGTAGGAATGTCCTTCTGAAGGCTTATCTTCTTTCTAGCTGTAGCTGCTGTTTCTCTAGGTTTGCTGGTGCTCTCCCCAATTTTGGCTTCCCCCAGGTTCCCGACTTTTCAGGTATGTCCTTCTTAAGGCTTATTTCCTTTCAATTCTAGCGGTTGTTTCTCTAGATTGCTGGTGACCTCCCCAATTTTGCCTCATCCAAGGTTCTCAGCTTACATGTTCTCTTTAAAGTTGGTATGTCCTTCTTAAGACTTATCTTCTTTCTAGCTGTAGCTGGTGTTTCTCTAGACTTGCTGGTGCTCTCCCTAATGTTGGTTTCTCCCAGGTTACTAGCTTACATGTTCTCTTAAGTATGTCCTTCTTAAGGTTTATCTTCTTTCTAGATGTTGTTTCCCTAGATTTGCCGGTGCCCTCAATCATTGCTGTCGAGCGCGCAGCTTGTCACAGGGTCACACGCTTGGCTGAAATGCTATGGTGGCCATGCATTTTCAAGCCTGCTTTCTGCATGTTACATTTATGTCTTGTCAAAAGCAAGATGCATTTGGGGTTTTGCTGCTTTGGCCTTCTGAAAGAAGACGTCCAACCTCCCTAAGTTACATTTTTCTATCTATAAAAACAGGGGGGGACCTGGACGTCAATAAATGTAAGTTACATTTTGTATCATTTTGTCACGACCCCCCCCCCTCATGTTTCTTTTTGCGTCTCTTCTGTCGGTGTTTCCCCCGATTTCCCCAGGGATCTTCCAGAGATCTCCAGTCCGCGCATGTGTTTTTTGGGGGGACGGGGTCAAAATGTGACTTTGAAGCTTTCACAGACACAAAATGAAGCAACCTTCTATGCCTTTGCGTGATTTTGCTGGCTGCGTGAGCAAGGTCCAACCCCCCCCCACCCCCCAAAAAAGGCCTGAAACTGGACCGGGGGGGGTGGTAAGTTACATTACCCCCCTGTTTTGAGTGCCTAAGGGGGTGGTGATGTTCAATCATCAATCTGCAATGCAACAAAAAGCAACAAGTGATCAGACTGCTGCGATACCTCACTGGCTGTGGAATCAGCCCTCCACCCCACCGGTTCACCCCGAAGATGGAGCAAGAGGGTGTCTCGGCACCCTGTAAGTGTCGGAGCCGCAAGTGCTATCATCACGTCACGTTATCTCACTTTCAAACCT